AGGGGCGATGAGTCATGGCTGTCCCACGATGGCTGCCGACCCCTACCCCTGCTCATCCTCGTGATCCACCTGCTGGCCCATCCGCGGCCTGCGCTTGTCCTTGATGCAATTTATTTCACCATAAATTTGCCCCAAATCCCCCACACACACACACACACACATCTAGTGGTAGATGACCTTGGGTGTCGCTGTGGCTACTGTTCCGTTCCGCTTATATTCCCATTTCCATTGCCCCACAACTGTTGCACCTTCGTCTAGGGCTGTGCTCCTCCTCCTTTCCCGCCCGCCTTTCGCCTCTCATCAGTCGCCCAAAAAGCCAATAAATTTTCATACAAAACAGCAACGGGGAAAACAGGGAAAACACCAGCAACTTAATAGCCCCTGGACTTTAATATTTTTCTCACTTTTTTTCGACCTGCGAGCACTACATCAAAGTCCTTCACTGGCGAGAAGGTCCAGCGTCTATGTCCGTGTCCGTGTCCGTGTCCGGGTGATTAAATGAAATTTACGAGTAGAGTACTCCCATCAGCCGGGAGAGAAAGCTTTTTTGCATAGAAATAAAAAGATGGAGCGAGTAAGGCCTATTCCCATTGCCATTCCAGGACTCTGGGCCCCCCCTCCCCCTCCCCCCACCGTTCTGTCAGAGATTGATGGGTTGGTGTTTTGTCTTTTGGGGACTGCCGGCGGACAGCGTCATATAATGAACTGGAGACCTGCACCGCCATATGTATTCCGGGAGATAATTGTGCGAAGTGCGAATGATTATTGTCGCCTGGCCCCAGATGACGCGGCGGCATATATAGATGTAATTATAAAAGGAGATGTACGCACAGCAGGAGGCCTATGTAGGCACCCGAAGGATGCTGGCTCCGAAGTCAAGGACAGGGACACAAAAGCCGCCTGGAGTTCCAGCCTCTGTGGGCTCTTTTTTGACTGGCAATTCCTGAAATCCGAATAATCCTTGCACCCCCGTTGAGTCGCTGAGCATTAAATGCAGTTTAAAGGCAATCCAACACACATTTTCCATATAAAAAGTCAAAAGTCTTTCCTTCAAAATGCATTTTTCTTCGGCAAATGCCTTGGAAATCATTGTATAATCTATGCCAAAGCCACACGTGTCGTGGTCATAGTTTGGTTTAATTATTCATTGAATTGAAGTCATATTTTAATTTGGAATTTACGATATGTCCCTTTGTGTAGGTGACATTTCATGGCCGTAATTGAAACCTAATTACATTTCAGTAATAATTAATTGAAAATTGCATACTGGGGGAAAGGGATATACAAGGGATATACAAGGGATATACAAGGGATATACAAGGGATATACAAGGGATATACAAGGGATATACAAGGGATATACAAGGGATATACAAGGGATATACAAGGGATATACAAGGGATATACAAGGGATATACAAGGGATATACAAGGGATATACAAGGGATATACAAGGGATATACAAGGGATATACAAGGGATATACAAGGGATATACAAGGGATATACAAGGGATATACAAGGGATATACAAGGGATATACAAGGGATATCCAAGGGATATACGCATCTTTTCGGCTTTAAGGACTGCCTTTAGACCATCAATCGACAGCTCATTCTGGAGATGGCGATGAATATGGACATTGATCGCAACAATTATGCAGGACAGGCCAAGACAGGAAAGGAAAGGAAAGGAAGGATATAAATGTGATGAGATAGTCGAAAACTATGGCTGACAGGGAGACCGCCTCTGGGGTCTCCCGGCCCTCCTGCCAGGAGGCTGTGTCTCTGGTGGTGGTGCCACTGGACTTGGACTCATGTTTGTGTGCTGCAATGGCGACGCGTTGACAGCTTTGCCCCTGTCATCTCTGCCATCTCTGCCATCTCTGCCCCACTGGGGTTCCTTCTCGCTTCACGGCTAAGTGCTGTGTCTTCTTCCTTCTGCCTTCTGCCTTCCTCGTTCGATTTTGCTGTTTTTAGTGTTTCTGCCTTTCCTTTTTTATGAACATGTCTGTGTGTGTTGTGCTTTTTACGACAAGCAGCCGTTTTATTGCAAGTGTTGGCCTCGTCTCGAGGTTATTAAAGTTTCAGCCAGAGCCGCCATCGCCCACACATTTTTGCGAGTAGTCAACAGGACCTGGACAGCTTTTGGAACACGAGTATAAATATGAGAATGAGCCTCATGGACTGGAGGATGCAACTGGGACTGGTACTGGGACTGGAGGGTGATTCTGATATGATGTGATGCGATGCGATGCGATGCGAAGTGCAGTGCAGGCCACCTACATTTTTCGCCCACTTTTGGCCCATTTGCGGCCCGGCCCTCTCGTCAGTTTATGGCTGAAAAGTGCAATCATAAAACGTTCATGGCCCCTGCAAAATACAACCCAGCGAGGAGAGACAGAAACTGGAATTGTGGTGCCCCAATGAGTGGAATACATTAGCTATAAAACCCCGTTTGAAATGTGAAAATACCTGGCAAAATTGTATCCACTTTTCCACCATTTGCATCCACGGAAAAACACCAAAAACAAAGCTCATAGAAGACCATTGAAACAAATCAGAAAATTCAACAAAATGAAACAGTAATAGAGAATGGAGAGAGAGAACAGAGCAAAGCAGGGGCAAGACAGTGAACGGAGAGCACAAGAGGGGGGCTGGGGGCTGGGGGCTGACAGATACAGGGGGAAAAGGATCCAAAGAGGCGTAAAGAGGGCCAGACAAAATGTTCCACTTCAAAATGACTTTGTGGAGCGATTTCCCAGCCATCATCCGAATGGGCAGACCATTGGAAAATCTAGTGAAAAGAGCTAGACGGAAAAGCGTAGCCAAGTCGAGAAAAACAACGAACAGCCAACGGAAAAGCCGTATGGCGTGCTGGCAAAAGTGGAAAATCGTCTGCAAATGCCGAGGTCGAATGGGAAATGCTCTTTTCTGTCAATGGACATTTGAGTTTTTGGGAAATCCTGCGTAATCTAAGGCCTGAAATTCCTTTGAACCAGCAAGCTAGTGCCCCATTATGGGTTTTTCTGTTTTTTTATAATCGATAATTAGCGATAGTTTCTTTTGATTGTTTCTATCGTATATTATTGCGATAATTAGCCTTCAATGGATATTTATCATTTATCATTTAAATCTATTGATTAAAATCGATCAATATCGATACGTACGTTTCTTACAAATATCATCTATAATCGTCGATTATATCGACTGTTATTGGTTTTTATCGATTTTTTTATTATCATTTATTGTATTATTCCGACTATTATAGATACTTGGCTATGAATGGATATATTTTATCATTTAATTTTACTGATTATAATCATTAAATATTGATAACTTCTATATATTGCTTTTAATTGTTACGTTTCTTTCGAATGTCATCAAAAAATGGTCGATTATATCGATTTTTGTTGATCATTATCTATTTTTGTATCGATTATTTATCATTTACTGCATTATTCCGTTTATTATCGATACTTGGAAATGAATGGATACTTGTATCCTTTAATTCGATCGATTATAATCGTTTAATATCCATAACTTCCATATATTGCTTTTAATAGTACGTTTCTTTCTAATATTATTAATAATGTTAGATTATATCGATTTTATTGATTATTATCGATTTTGATATCGTTTATTTATCGTTTAGTATATTATTTCGACTATTATCGATAACGATGGCTATGAATGTATATACTTTATAATTTACTTCTATCGATTATAATCGATTAATATGGTTATTTTTATCATTTAATTCTATAGATTAAAATCGATTTATATCGATAACTTCCATCGATTGCTTTTAATAATACGTTTCTTTCGAATATCATCAATAATCAATAATTGATTATAATCGATTTTTGTGTCGAATTTGTTTCGATTATTATATTACTCCGTTTATAATCAATACTTAGCTTTCAATGGATATTTTCATCATTTAGTTCAATCGATTATAATCGATTGATATCGATAATTTCTATAGATTGCTTTTAATAGTACGTTTATTTCAAATATCATCAATGTGATTGACTATTGTCGATTTATATCGACTATTTGCATATATTTATTTCATTTTTAGTATTCAGTCGCCCGAGCGTTTCTTAATCTTTCTGACATGTATTTTCTGTCGTCTTTTATGTTGTTTCTAGCTTTAGTGCCCCATTTAGGTTCTCCGATCTATGGCCATTCGACAGCAACATATATCACCGCTACAATATATGTTTCCACTGAACCGTTCGTTTTTATGTGATTTATGTGCACGGCAGGGGCAATCCTTTACATATTTGTACACCCTTTATATCACATAATATATGATTTAGTATGCCTATAAGCTCTTCCATAATTCCATGACTCCATCATGCTTTCGTTTCTCATTTGTGGCCACATTTGGCTCACATTTGTAGCTGTGATGCCCTCGGCCTCTGGCAGAGTATGGGGCCAGGAATCGTTTATTGTATATTTTGCATTGCCCCCGCGGCCATTGTCCGGTTGTCCGTTATGGCAGGTTATGGTCCGTCGGGGAAGTGGCAGTAACTACTCGCAATCCGCTGTTAAGCTGAAGGAAGCGTCACGGAAGCGACAGAGCCATTGAAGATGCTATGCTCTAAGGGCCGGCCACAAACTTTTATCCTCGCAAAACTTAACTTTGCATCTTTTTGATTGACTTGGGAAAGCGAAAAGAGTGTGTGTCATAGGAAAAGGATGTGCAGCACCGGAAACGGATGAGCTGTCAAAACGATACGCAGAGCGAGAAATCCCAGAATGATTCGGGAATGAAAGCCTATCCTTTAAGCCCTTCCCTTAATCTATTTGTGGGGCTTTTCGGAGTTCAAATTCCATGCAGACCTCATTTAAAAACAATTAGAATACGAACATCAATGTGGCATCATAATCAAGGCAATAATTGCCTCCCATCGAGGTGTGACGACAAATCATTTGAGCCCATAATTAGTGCCAATCGACTAAATGACTCTGTTGCTGTTTTTTCCCCCTTTTTTTAGTCGTTCTCCAAGTGCCTTTGCCCAAACAACATGAGGAGGAGCCACTGTACAAGCTGGATGGGGATTCTGGCGCTGTTCGGCCTCCTGCCGTACTCCAAGCAGGTACTATACCCAAAATATGGGCTAAGAACTCAATGAGATTTCTGTTTCTTGGTCTACCTGCAAACAGCATTGCTATAGCATGAAGCTGGTGAGTGTCCGGACGTGGGATACACCCAATTATGGCCTGAAGATCAACATGTTCGAGAGGAACAACTCGATGGCGTCGGTGACGACGGTGCGCCAGGATGTGGCCATTCCGCTGTGGCATCTGGTGCTCCTGCAGCAGCCCCGCAAACGGAACGGCGGCGGCTCGCCGTCGCGTACCGAACTGCCGCGTACCCTGTACAATTCGACGACAAAGACATGCGACTTCTGGAAGTACATGCGGCATGTGTCCGCCTGGAATAATGTCGCAAAGCTGATGCTCTCGAAGGGGGCCAGCAACATGAGTCTCGCCTGTCCGCTGAAGGTCGGCGTCTACATGATGAACCGGATCCAGGTGCCCCCCGATACGGCCCTGCTGAAGTTTATGTATCATCCGAATACCCTCTACACGCTCGAGGGCACCGTCTATGGCCAGAGCCCCAAAGATGGTGCGACGAGGCGGTTTCTCTGCAAGTATGAGGTCAATGCAACCATTTTCAAGTCCTGCTAAAGGCACCAAGCACTTTGCTCCTTTGCTCCTTTGCTCCTTTGCTCTGTTTTTTTTTTTTTTGTTTTTTCTAGTTGTAACAAATAAAAGTGCCCATTTTTCCACCATCTCCCGCTCTCTCTCTGTGTGTGTTGCACGAGTGCAATTTTTAATTAAGTGCGAAAGGAAAATGCATGCCATGAGAAAATCCTCAAATCAGACACACAAGAAAATGAAGAGAAAGTACAAATCCGATGTTTTTCAAAGCTTGAATAGTTTTTAATGGTTTTTAAAGCAAAATTTGGCAACTTTTTTTGTCACAGTCCTCGGGAAAAACTCGTGGAAGGCGTGGCAATGGGCGTGCACAAAATTGCGTGCAATCGTAATCGTATTTCATTCCCATTTATTCATTTATTTGCATTTTGCATGACCACACGCACGGCACACTGCAAATGCACTGCTCTAAATTTGTACTCTCTGGCTCTCTCACCATAAATGCCATCAATTTGAATCAAAATTCTAATCAATTCTCATGTGTGGCAGCTGCGAAAACAATGTTGCACCATGAGGCCAAGATATGACGGCATTATTCGCGATTTTTTGGTGAGGAAAATAACAGAATGAGTGGCCAACTGATGGACAAACAGTAGAACTTCTGAAAGGATTCAGGTGTAGACCCCAGGTTCTGCCTTGTGCCCCCCCCCCCCCCCCCCCCCCCCCCCCCCATCCCAGCAATTGGGCATAAAATATGCGATGCTTGCATGCCACAGACTTATTATTAAAACATAAAATTTGCATGCAAGCCGCAAAGCCAGAGGCGACCCAAAACCCACATATGTACATATATCCTTCTGTGTCCCTGCTATATACTCGCACTGTATTGTACATAAATAAAACCCCAAAGAGTAAGAAGAAGAAAAAAAGAGCACACCCACTGCTTACATTTTTGGTGGGGTTGTTGGGGCGGTGGTGGCAGATTCGTAAGATATACAAATACGTGCCTGTTTGTACATTTATGTGGCGTTTGGCAATTTGAACTCGTGAATTATGCAGAGAACGAGGAGCAAAGACAATGGCCGCCACAGGAAAGGAAAGGTGACTGCGTAGGGGGGAGCAGCGCATTAGACAAATTTGGGCAGTTTATTTACTGGCAACAAGAGTGGAGTGGAGTGGAGTGGAGTGGAGTCGAGTCCACAGATGCTAACACTCCACTCAGTGGATTGATCTCAACATTAGTGGAGTGGCGCGTTGATTTGTGTGCTGGGAGGCACAAAAGATGAGCGATTCAGTGCTGGTAAATGCCTATTAGTGTTGGGCATTACATACTTAAGGCAGCTCCAGACAGTAGACAGCACGCCCACACCCCAACCCTTCTAGATAGTAAATTAATACTCAAAAATTAAAGAAAAATATATTAGAAAAAATAAAATTGGAAATATTGAAAGTATTAAAAAATAAATTAAATAAAAATGTAAAAACAAATACAAAAAACAAATACAGCAATAAAAAATTAAAAGTATGTTAGTTTCATTAAAAAATTTTAAAAATACTAATAAATACCCATAAACTAAAAAAAAAAATGTTTGGAAAAATAAAACAAAAAACTTTAAAAGTATTAAAAAAAAATGAAATTAAAAATCAAAATGTGAAAAGAAATTCATCAGAAAGTTTTGATCAAATTTGATCAATTTCAATAAAAATTCTAAAAATAAAAAAAATAAAAATTAGATATCTAAGTAACGTTTGCAGGATATTTAATAAGTACTCAAACTAAAAAAAAAACTTGTAAAGTATTAAAAATAAATCACATTAAAATGTTCAAAGAAATACTACAGAAAATACTAAAAAAAAATTCTTAGAAAACAAATGCAGCCATAAAAACGACAAAAGTGAAAAATATGAGTAATTTCAATACTAACGAGGGGGAACGTTGTGAGTTGCTGCGGACACCGCAACTCTACGGTTATACCCGATACTAAGTCAGTATGGCTCTCCTCCGACAGACGCCGCTAATATTTAACGACACGACAAAGAGTGCGTGCGAGAGAGACAGAAAATCAGTCTGAGCGTGACGTCGGGCGCTGCGTAGCCACTGCAAATTGATTTGTTCCTTTTGGCTATAAAAATGATCTGATCTGATCCAGATTCAGCAATCTAATAGATATGGTCATTATCTATGATTCTGCGTTTTTAGTTTTCTCAAATCTGCAATATTGTGGATGCAACAGATTTTCGTACTTTGTGGGGGCGGATGGGGGTGGGGCGAAATTCTGAGATATACGTTTTATAGTGACATCTTAAAGGAGTGTGTGTACCAAATTTGGTTACTCTAGCCTTAATAGTCTCTGAGATTTGTGGTTGCCTCAGATTTTCGTCCTTTGCGGGGGCGGAAGGGGGTGTGGCGAAATTTGGACATGAAACGGTCAAGGTCCGATATCACAGGAGTGTGGATACCAAATTTGGTTGCTCTGGCTTTTATAGGTTCTGAGATCCTTGAACTCATATTTAGCAATTGGCAAAACCGACCATGAAACCTGTGTGTTAGAGTGAGACAGAGCGAGAAAGAGTGAAATTGTTTTCGTGATTCTGGCTGTAATAATTATACGATCTGGTTCAGATTTTGCACTCTAGAAGATATAGTCATCTTCTACGATTCTGCGTTTTTTGTTTTCTCGTATCTTTAAAATTGTGGATGCCACAGATTTTCGCCCTTTGTGGGAGCGGAAGTGGGCGGGGCAAAGTTTTGAAATATTTTTGTAGCAGTGACATATCACAGAAGTCTGGATCCAAAACATCGTTGCTCTAGCTCTTATAGTCTTTGAGCATTAGGCGCTGAAGGGGACGGACAGACGGACAGACGGACAGACGGACGGACGGACAGACGGACAGACGGACAGACAGACATGGCTCAATCGACTCGGCTATTGATGCTGATCAAGAATATATATACTTTATGGGGTCGGAAACGATTCCTTCTGGACGTTACACACATCCACTTTTACCACAAATCTAATATACCCCAATACTCATTTTGAGTATCGGGTATAAAAAGGCAGAAAAGCATTGACGTTGATTTTGATTACGAGTCGTAATTGCGAATCATTAGTACGTCCACCCCAATCGTCATCATTAGTGGAACGGCGAGTACAGCCGTACGTAGAGCTCGCTCTACGGTTCTACGGTTCTACGGTTCTACCGTGCTACGAGCCGGCAGTAGATATTCTTTACGCAAGTCACTGGCTCAGTTTTATGTGGCACTAATTATTATGCCACTTACGTCTCCTGACAGACAATTACCGCAGAAATACGAGTAGTATCTACCGACGACTGACGACTGACGAGTGACGAGTGGGGAGTGGAGGAGTGGAGGAGGTGGCTGCAATTATGAATCGTTTCTTTGTCGAACCCAACACTTGGTGCAGCAGTAACTTGATGAATGGCTCGTCACTTGCCACAAAAGTGTCGTGACCGGTGACAGAAGTCCATTCCGAGCTCTTTAGGGGTCGTATGCAGGGCAGTGCAGGATGCTTAGCCACGTGCCGCATCAGATTGCAGGTTACATCCTGGGATGTGGCCCAATCTGATTGCTCCGAAGTCGAGTCGTGTCGTGCGGCTTGGATTGCCTTAATAGCCACAGCTACAGTAAGCTCTCTCTCAGGGGCGCAATATCTGCAGTATTAGCCCCGACTGGAGGGTTCCAGGAATGTCCCTAATATCTAGGAATCCTCGAAATGGAAAACCACTTCGGATGAATTCCCGCAATATCCTTAAGGCTTCGCCGCATTCCAGAAACATCAATTTTGTGCAAGTCCCTTCCACGAATTTCCATATTAATCTGAGTCGAGCTTCGGCTGGCTCCATTCCAGGAACAGCGGCCACAGATGGGTTTTGCATTTGCGCTTGCCTTCCCGGAATCGCCTTGTTGTGCTTTTCGGGGAACAACAGACAGCAGTAAGTCGCCACAGAATGTTGCACCGCGATGGGAGTGCAGCTAGAAGCAATTGTCACTTCAATAAGCTTCAATAATGCTGCCTTCCCGCTCCTTTCTCTCTCTCAGCAGCAAGGTAATCGCCATCGAAATGGCTGCTGGTGCTACTCCTTAGAGCGGACAGCTGTACGCTCTTTACGCTCCCGTGAGCTTATTTTTAATTATCCGCCGCATTCCAGGAAAAAACCGCAGTCATGACAGCCAGATGGCAATACATTAATTCGTTTTCATTCCACAAATAAAGCGCATATGACGCAGGGCGTTTCTGTTGATTCCACCGCATAAAATGGATATCTGTGCAGGCGACGCATCAAATGTCACATTAATTTGTTGCACTTCACTGAATGTGCACGCAGGCACTGGCCAAAACCCGTAACAAATTGCCGAGGCAGTGAGGCGGGATAATTGGCAGGCCAGGATGAAGCCAGCGATGCCATGAGAGATCTCCACGAAATCGATGCCCAAGCCAACCGAGGGGCTCTGCTGCATGTCAAAACGGTCCAAGGAAAAGTGTGAAACTAAAGCAGAAACGATTTTGGGTTCGGGAATGGGGAGAGGCAGCGGCAGCTGCTACAAGGAGTCATGGGACATCCCCATCTCTGGGGCTGCAGCGGTGCCTTTTGGAAGAGGGATGTAGGATGTATACTACTCGTAAAAGTGCAAAGGACTTGGAAGAAATAGCCACCAACGAGACCTTCCAATGGTCTCAGATTTGTAGAGACATTTAAAGAGACTTTCCAGCTAATTATGTGGGGAAAGAACATGGGAAATCCTGACATGCTTTGGGTTTTACCATTGGAAAAAAGAGCCCTACCCTTTAGCTGCCATTAAAAGTCAAAGTTCAAGGGAAATTAAGTGCGCATTAGCCCTGTCATTGATGGAATATGCCGCGGGGGCACACAAAGGCTCCCTCCCCTTGCCCACCGATAGGCACAATATAATGAAAGCCTGCCAGTCGGACGCGTGGGTTTTGATAATTGAACATCGGAGTTGCTGCGGCTCGGAGGAGTCCAGGACAGGTCCAGGTGGATAGGTAAATTTCCAGGACACGGAAATGTCTCTCTGTCTGTCCATTGTCCATCTCTGAAATTAGTGGCCATGCGAATGGGATTCTCGACATGCCAACGATTCAGCGAAGAGTTCTGGTTCAGGATGTGCACATGTTTTGCTCTCCTGACATTTTTCTGGGTAATTAGAGTTTC